TTTTTTTTTTTGGATCGTCACAAATCGATGTTCGCATCTGTAACAACGAACATGTGACACCTGTCATTGGTATTGATGATGTGATCAGCCGCCTCATCAGCATTCACGATTGTCACTTCTTGTGTCCATTGGTATTGATGACGTCCATACGTAGTTGTCACTTCTTGTGTTCATTGGTATTCATGATGTCTACACATTGTTGTCGTTTCTTGTGTCGTTCGTTATTGATGATGTCTACAGCTTCTTGTCAACTCCTTTGTGTTCCGTTTTCATTTGCATTCATGATTGTCAGGGCAATACTGACATGGAAAGTGGTGACGGATGTATGATTCAACCGATGCTTTATCACAGATTGACGGATTTTCATACAAGCCATACCAAATGCGAGCACAGATGAAGGCAATAAAACTGACACACACACAACGTCTTCCAAACAAAGTACTTGTCATTCGTCAAGAACACGGAGAACAACCTCCAGGACTTAAAAAAAAGATTACAAGATATGTTGTCTGAATGTTGTCACTCCCGACAACAGCACAAGACGTCATAGTTAGGATGAAACAGGCCTTGAAGGCAACTTCGATCCCAACCAGCCGAAAAAAGAACACACACCCCCGGAAATGGACTTCGTCACTCACACCCGTCACTCAGACCCGTCACTCACGGTCGCACCACACTAGAAATCGTCGCAAAGACAGACAACTACATGCGCATCACGAAACCCTCGCCGACGATGCGATGGACTGTGCCATCGCCATAAACCCCACCCTGTGACAACCTCCTAAGTGCGGCGCAATGCGAAAGTACACCAAACTAAAGTGCGAAGACAAGTCGCCGCATGCGCGCCAACGCCCACCGATACAGGCAGCGGTCGATTAACTCCCTCTCTCTCTCTCTCTCTCTCTCTCTCTCTCTCTCTCTCTCTCTCTCTCTCTCTCTCTCTCTCTTTGCGGCTGCATGCCGCCCGCTCCCAATGACTGGCTGTCTTCACTGTGTACCCATTCGTTCCGCCAGTGCATCCTGCAGGATCAGCGCATGCCCCGTCGACGACTCCATACACATCTGCCTCAACGGGCGGTGCATCCCAAGGTCCACGTTGCGACGAACACCATCCGGCCCGACCTCCCACAGTAGATTGTCGTCGAACGGGATGCCCGTGTCGATGAGTATGTTGTGCAGAATGCAGACGTCGACGAATTGCTGCGGCAACGTCTCCATGTTCGTCTTGTGGGAGCGAAGGAACAACCTCCACATCCCCTTCAATCTGCCGAAAGCCCTCTCGACTGCTCCCCTCGCCGTCTTCTGTTTGTTGTCGAACCGCATCTCCGACGGGTGCTGTGATAGACCGCCGTAGGGGACGACTACCCATTCGGAGGGGGGGTAACCGTTGTCGCCCAGCAGATACCCGTTCGTACACACACCGAAAGGCAGCATGACAGGTGGCCCAGTGAAAAGCTCCCCTGCCTCCGCGCACGCCCATAAACTGGACAGGTGGACGATCCTCACGTCGTGGCAACTCCTCGGATATCCGACGAACACATCCAGCACGCACAAGTTGAGATCGACGACCACCTGAGCCTGGACGGAGAAACGACGTTTTCTGTCATAGTAGTCCTCCCCGGGGCAATTGGATGGCTTGTCGATGAAGATGTGGGTACAATCGATGCAGCCATGGCAGTTGGGGAAACCCTTGTCAGCGAAAGCGCGCAAGACGACCTCCTTTTGCAGCCCCGTTGGCCACGATATCTTGTCGGGGTACGCACTCAGCAACGCCGAAGTTACATCCCGCACAGCCACCAACCCAGACTTTCTGCCAATGCCGAAGCTGCATGTCCCGCTCTCGTACATCTCCCCCGACGCCCATCTGTACAAAGCGTACGCTACAATGAGGTCAGGCTGGAGGGGCTCCTTATAGAAAGTGACACGCTGTTGAAGGAAGGGAGACAGAGCTTCCGCTATCTCTCGGAACACCCGTGGCGATATGCGCAGCTTCTTCTTGAAGTAGTCTTCCGTCGCGTCGTCGCATTGCCGCAGATCCTCCCACACCCCCCCTGTTCGTCGCTTCATCCACCACCTGGGCTTCGCTCTTGGAAATGTTCCACACCCTTTGGCATAGCACACCTGCAGGACGGCGTCGCAAATGGCACCACTGCCCTCTTCGTCCACATGCATGGACTGCAGCGTCTTCTTCCGGCGTGCGCGAATGGCTGCTCTCATCCTCCCCTCGGTCCTCTGCAATTGACACCTGATGAGTATCAGGTTCACGGCCGCTGCCACAGCCGCCCTCTCCGCCTTGCTGAGTGTGTCATGGACCGCGTCCCCGTTCACGTCCATCGCTCGTCGTCGCCAAGTGAAGAAGGCTCGACTTCAGTGGGAACAACAGCGATGCTGCGTCGTGACAACGGGACTGTACGGCGTACACGTCGACGGCGACGGTGCGCGTAGCAAAGTAGACAACGGTGGCGATCGTGTGACGGCGGGCCTGCTGCTTCAGACGTATTCATGGACGTTCGGCGTGCCAGCAGAAGCCACGCAGCCGCCACCCCGTACCCAAACGGTCCCGCCGACGAACGTTGCTGCCGTCAGCCGTAAGGGACAGCCACGCCGCCGTCATTCACTTACCGGAATTTGAATTTCGAAATTCGAATCCGGGACTGTGCGCCGTTTTCGTAGCCTTTTTTTTTTTTCCGCTGCGTACTTTCGAATTCGCGCCGCCCACAGCACCTGGACCAAGGACGACGCCACGGACACAACTCGCTGGACCAACCTCGCCCCCCCCCCCGCGTCCGCGTATCGAAATATCTAACTGGCCGCGGGAGCACCCGAGGAATCGTCCTCGGGGAACATTTCCGAGGATGAGTGGAATGAAGGCGGGAATTTCCTCGGGCGACTCCAAGGAATCGTCCTCGGGACCCGAGGATGCCCTGAGGAGTGTGGAACGAGCCCCTTCCTCATCCTTTTGCAAGTGATCTTTTTGCCTCGGCCGGCTCTGTGGTGAGCTTTTCTTTTTGAAAAAAATCCTTAAATAGAAGGCCCTGGCCCTCTTCACTTGCCACATGAAAACATTCTGCCGTTCTATCTGATAGGCTGAAAAAAAGCCTGAATTGTTTTCCGTGGAGGGCCAGTGCCTTGAAGGCCCTGGATAAGAGGCAAAGAGGGCCAAGAGGGCCAAGAGGGCCCGCCGGTAGTACCACCTGAACCCGTCCGTGATTTGGGCCTGCCCTGGCCCCTCTTCACTGGGCCATGGCCGAAATGTCTCCCCCGCGATGTGGCACTTTTCCGGATCCTACGTGACTAGACTGCATTTAAACCTCTTCCACCGAGAGAGGTAACCTCCCTTCACCGAAGAGAGGTAGAAAGCTATGCTTGCAGGGTCCCCTGTATTATAGTCTTAGGAGTAGTGGTAGGTAGGTAGTGAAAGGAAAAGCCAATTGAAAATATGTGAGGCGAGAGAAAAAACTATATATAGCTGTCAGCCAATGAGGAGAAGACAGC